GGAGTTGCACTCAGCCCCAGAGCTGAATGCGCTTTGCTGGATTGGATCCCAGTGAACAGTCGTCTCTGCGCCGTCCGGCTATCCAGTTCAATCAAGCTCAATGCCTCGCGGCATAAAAAGCGGTGCCTGTTGGTCGTATCGGCTTATGCACCAACGAACTGCAGTCCTGATGCGGAGAAGGACACTTTCTATCGAGAGCTATCCGAGTTCATCCATCAGGCAAAAAACACCGACATTGTGATCCTCGCAGGCGATTTGAATGCTCAAGTAGGTCGTCTGAGCTCCTTGGAATCACATTTGGGTGGTCATTTCGGAGTCGATGCTCGCCGCACAGACAACGGAGATCGACTCCTTCAGCTGTGTGCTGATCACGAACTGTTTCTGGCAAGTACGAACTTTCAACATAAACGTTCGCACCGCGTTACCTGGCGACCGCCAACTACAAACCAACCGTGGACCCAGTTGGACCACGTGGCTATCAGCCACCGTTGGAGAACCACAATTTAAGACTGCCGTTCCATTTACGGCACGCCACTTGTTTCCGACCACGCCATGGCGCTTGCACGCCTGACAGTTCGTTCCCCTTCAGGCCTCACAAGTCAGCAAGAAACGTGCCAATCCACTGTCTTCGAAGAACTACCATAACTCAACAGCATCAGTTTGAGCTAGCCCAAAAACTCTCCACAGTAAACCAATACTGTGGTGGCAGTGAGCATGTGGATGAAGCGTGCCAAAATGTGAAAGAAGCTATGCTAGCGGTGTTCAGTGCTGCCTGCCCGACTTCTCCACAAGACCACTGACCACTGGATTTCGTTGAGGTGGTTATCTATGATTGGTGCCAGGAAAGCCATAAAAGAAGGCAACGAGTATGACGGCGCACGCAAATCCCTCAAACACCAAATAGTGAAGAGTCTAAGGAAAGACCGAGAGCTCTGGTGGGCATCGAAAGCTCGGGAGATGGAGAAGGCTTTTACTACGGGAAACAGCCGTGCCCTTTATCAACTGATACGATCGACTGGCCCTAGGAAAGCAATGGTCAGCGAAACGATAAGTGAGAAAGATGACCCATTAATTCACTCGCAAAGACGTCGACTAGAGAGATGGGCCGAACACTTCGAAGAACAGTTCGGCTGGCCTCCTGCAACACAGCCTGTGAGGATAAAGCATACGTGTGAATGGAATGTAAATCTTAATCGCCCGTGAGAAGACGAAAGAAGGTACGAAATAGCCCCACTAAAGCGTGAGAAGTCACCAGGACCGGACAGTCTGTATCCAGTCCTCTTCAATGAAGGCGGAAAATCTCTGGTGACCCATCTGACAAATCTTATTGGTGCTATATGGGACCTAGAGAAAGTGCCTGCAGAATGGGGCATGTCGACAGTTATCCCCATCTTTAAAAGGGTGTGGAAACCACCGTGGCATCAGCCTGTTAGCTGTGGTATCGAAGGTACTCTCTGGCGTTATCTTTCGAAGGTTGATTGAATACAGGGAGAGACAGATTCGTGAAAATTAAGCTGAGTTCCATCCTGCAAGAGGTTGCATCGATCATATCTTCTGGAACAGTGACACTGCTTCCAGCAACCAACAAGGGTTGTGACTCTTGATCTGAAAGCTGCCTTTGACTCTGTAGACCGTCAGGCACTATGGCAGTGTTTGTGGAACAAATGTGTCCCCCGTAAATTCTTGACCCTCATTAAGGCGCTGTACGTCAACTCCCGCGGCCGCGTAAAGGTCTACGGGAAGCTCTCACCTGAGTTCACCACATCAGTTGGTATCTGACATGGCTGTCCTCTTTCACCTTTCCTCGTCGACTTCGTCACTGATACGGTCAAGGAAGACTCACTAATAGCCTCTAGTACCTGTGGATTCGAAGTGCTTCCGGGGCGTACGCTCACAGATATCGAGTACGCAAACGACATAGCTCTTCTTGGATCGGAACTCGTGGTAATGCAAGCAATGTCAAATAATCTAAATAATTCTGCCTCACGGTTCGGCATGTGCTTCATACTTGCAAAGTGTAAAGTGCTACTGCAAGACTGGGTGGGCTCGAACCCTAGCCTCATGCTTGCGAATGAACCGATTGAGGTATTAGACAAATTTGTTTACCTGGGCAGTTGTATCAGTCCTGGTGGTCTTGCGAAAGATGATATTTCCATCCGGATTGGGAAAGCCACAGCGGCTTTTGCGAACCTACGTCACCCGTGGCGTAGGACATCCATCAGCTTCTCTGTCGAGGGTCGAGTTTATAATGTTGCGGTGCTCCCTATATTACTATACGGATCAGAAACCTGGCCGCTGCGCGTTGAAGGCGTCAAAAGACTTTCAGTGCTTTACCACCGATACCTTTGGAGCATTGCCCGAATCTGGTTGGAACACCGGATCAGGAATGCTGGTGCGCGTTGAATGGTATTCAGGAGAAGTAACTCACCCTCAATAGATGAACTGATCACACTCCATAGGTTGTACTGGCCTGGCCACGTGTTGCGTGTTCCAGTCGACCGACTTTCTCGAAGGGCTTTTTTCGCACAACCACGAGAAGGGTGGTAGAGAGCCAGAGGAGGTCAAGCAATGACTTGGCAACGAAGTATAAAATCCATTACCAATAAACTCAGATGCTCTGGTCATTGCCGTCTTCCTGGATGGGGACCCCGAGACGGGCCACATCAATGGCTAGAGAGACTGTCATCTATGGCCTAGTCGCGCCCTCAATGGCGCTCATGCATCCAAGTTGTTACCTTCAATGAATGGCTCCCTTTCCGAATCCCCCACTTAACAGTCCACTGATGGTACTATGTTTACGCACTAGTTTATCAGCTCCCGCATCCAATGCGCAGCTACCTACCCCACCTCCTCGAATCATCGGTGAACGAAACTGTGGCAGCTACAACCACTACGACAGGTATGCGGTTATTACAGCTGACAATGATGATGATGATGATACCGTACTACTTATAAGGTGGATGGAAACTTACTGCCCAGAGGTTCACTTGAGTCTCACCTTAACACCGTGTTCGGTTGTCCAAATCGGTCCACTGTGAATAGCTCGCTTTTTGATTGGTTCGCGACGTATAAGTTAGGCGAGAGGTTGGTTCAACGATGTTGCTTTGCAATCTACTGATCCGCCATAAGCTGACCGCTACTGATCAATCAATCACGGTTTTTCTCACTATCTCACTGTCTTCATCGTCTTCTTTGAAAATCAACGGTTGGAGCAAATTTGATTTGTGTGGACACTTAGCGTGACAGTGAAACCTTTCATATACTGTATTGTTTTTACAGCCATATACAAGGGTACTGGCTTACGTAGATCAGCTTCACACTTTGACTTTTGTTTTCATTTAGAATCGTTCCAATCTAGGTAGGAATCTCAGGTGTAGTTTCTTCTCAAGCCAGTCGTGCGGGGGGCGAGATGGCCCAAGTGGTTAGAGCGCGAATTTACTGACCGGAAGGTCCGTGGTTCGAACCCGACCTATGCCACTCGACTTCCCCTATCTAGGCTTGGGCAACCTGGCAGTATCCCAGCCCTCGTGTCTCCTTCGTGTGGCATGGCAGTTAGGCACCGAAAGGGTGCTACAACTGGACGATTTATTTTTTTAGTCGTGCGACAACCCTTCGGAGCGACTGCGAATCTTATTGCTTCGAAGAGCGTAGTTTTGCTCAAAGTGACAACTGTCCAGGAGTTCTATCTTTGGACTTTTTAAAATGAATGCGCTGTTTGCCTATCTGTAACTAGGTTCGTGAGAAGCCTCGCAAGCATTTTGTTACTTGAAATTGTTTGTAGGAATGCCCCTGTACACTAGTATGTTCTGCATATCCGACTAACGAACTGGAAGTATTTTTCCGAAGAAGACTAGGAAGTCAAATCCATCATATGGTTCCCTGGCCCATTACATCACAATCTAAGCCAGCTTTGTGTCATCTCACTTTCATATGTGGAAACTAACCTATGAAACTTTGTTTTAGATGTCTGAGGGGCTGCAGGGACTGAAGTCCCTGCAGCTGGTACAGCCATCAGCCTCAGGGTTACTTTTCCTGTACTAACGGTCAGATTTCATGTGTTAGGAATTACGCTGTTTGGTCCGTAATAATTGCGGCAAGGTTGGCGCACAGCCCGACCCAGTTCTGTTTTCAATGGCGGAAATCACAAGCTTCTTCACGTCTGGGACAGTTAACTGCTTGCTGCAATCAGACCCGATGTCGATCCTCTTTGGATTTCAAACAGGTGACAGCTTTCGTCTCTGAAAACGGGCTTGGGTCGAAATATGCATTGGCCTGGGACAGAAGCTAGACACATTGAATTGGAGTAAACAGGTTAACTTGGCTAACTGGTTACGAAACTTTCTTGGGAAGCACAGCTGCCCTTTCTAGAATTTTCCCATCCCCATGGAGTGGGTCATTCACATGGCTGAACTCGTTGAAGGCTTCTGGCTGTGCAAATTGTTCATCATGTCCACTGGTTGTAAGTCCCATCCACCCTTTGAACTAATTAAGGTTGGAATCTCATGCCTGACCAGTGAACCGCGCGTTCGTATTCACCAAAATCATAGTTGGACGCCTACCAAAAGTTAAATAGAAGCGGACAACCTTGGTTGATTCCCATTTCCGTCCCCTTCCAACCTCTGCATAAGTTCTAGTGGAATATTTGTGGAAATTACCGTATTTATACCTCCAATCAGGTTTGAGTGGTGAACGTGTGAGCGACGTGTTTGCTTTGTTTGACGCCTTGCCATCCGACTGAGAAATCCGTACGAGCGAGAAAATCGGTCAATATAACGTCCCATCTCTTAGGCAAACTACCGCATCTTTCAAAGTGCGTATGGTAATTCAAATTTGTCCAGCGTGTCCTGGTGAGTTAGTGGTAACACTTCCAGAAGTTCGGGGTGCGAATCCCGGCACAGTCAGAGATGTTTGCTGCATATAAGCTCTATTTAGATAAGAAATAATTGAGTCTAGTGCTTCCCCCTCTGGTTTGGTCCTTCTAAACAAGAATGTAGCAGGTGTTTTTTTTATCCGGACAGAATTACTGTATCACCCGCCCAGGGCACGAAGCCGGTGCTGCAAGGTACATGTCCCATAACCTGGTAATAATAGTCGTTCAGCTGAAACACCCTTTTGGTGGCTAGCTGGTATGCCACCTAGATGAAGCACGAGATACTGGGATACTGTTTGGTTACCCAAACTTAGCAGCAGTCGTGATGCAGAGTTCGGGTTTGAGCCACTGACCTAATGGGATTTTTATACATTCTTACATAAATTTGTGGCTAACTTTAGGTTCTTCAGGTTTTTAAGGGAAAAATCTTCATGTTGGGCCTGCCTTGGTCATCTCGTCAAATCAGACAGCATCTTGCGAGAAACGTAAGTGTCGGTAACATGACCATGATTCAATAGAAGAAGTACGAGTTGGTTGGGTACATTAGTTCCTGTACGGCAAACGTTGGCGATCTCTCACGATGACGAGTTTCCAGACGACTTCTAGCTTTTCGCCTGAGTGACCAGACCGGAAACGTATCTGGCTGGGTACTATGGCCACTAAGAAGTAATCGTAAGTCTAGTCCAAATACACAGAGGAAATCCACGGACCACTAAGTATGGAGAACGAATATGTGAGACAATGATGGACCATTGAAAAGTATGCTGTATGTATGTTATGCGTGTTGATAGGTAAGGCCTCCTGACTGAGAGTTACCACATGACCATCCTTACCATAGATTCTTCCTCATGATCAGGCCAGCATTCGTGTTGCCAACCAAGTGCCCATCATCCAACAAAGAAGTTCTAGCCAATGTCTAGGCTTTTTTTGTCGTGCACTGGTAAATCTCTGAGTTGCAGTCGGGTATTGTTATTTTATAGTTTCTTCAATCAGCGTATCATTCATAGTTCGTTTATCTTCAAACCTCACGAATTAAGGCCACAAATTCATTGCATAGTGTTTGTTGTTTAATTTGTTTATTTGCCTGTTCAGTTCAGTTAAACAAATCTACATTCCCTGTGCGCTTTGCTAGTTTTAGACGGTCATAGTCGAAGTACTTACTCTCAATTCCGCGGTTCCTTACAGAGAGTTTTTGTGTTTACATTCCTTCGTCATGTTGCGCTGTCTCCAGACTTAAACTTGATTCTGTTCACCGGGACCGTTTTCAAGTTGTCATTGCCTTCTGTTTACAGAAACGACTTAAGGATGTTTATCTGTATAAGAAGCCATATGCGCTTAGTAGACAGCTATTGTGTGGTGGCCTAAAGGCGTACGACCGATTGTTTATCGTAGCATGTTTTCGAATCTCGTCGGAGATTAGTGATGTTTACAGTTCTGGTGATTTCCAGTAAGGATGAAACAGCCGTAAATTGCTTCTCGGCTTTTTAGCGTAGATTGACTTCACTTTCAAGAGATACCTACTGTTCTTTGGCGTTTGCCGTCTCATTCTTTTAGGTGTTTGATTGGTTGAATAGGTTGAATTTCTTCATAATCTGCGACAGGAAGCTGAAATTACCAGTTTTGTTGTGTTGGTCAACCGCGACCGAATTCATCTAAACATAAGCCTTGTTTTGTCTGTTTTCGGAATAATCACGGACGCTACAGGATACGATCGCCTAAACAACTTTCCACTGAGAGAACGATTTTGATGTGTTCCGCTGATGACCGTTATCAGCCGGCACTCTTCATAACTGCACACTCGGACAAAGTTTGGTATCTCCCCTAGGGAGTTCTGTGTGGAGATTGACAGCAAAACACACTTGAGTGGACATATTCATTGTAAAATCCAATCCTTAAAAACCACCAAGTATTTGTACACTATAATTGCGCTTATCTAAGCGTTTTGGCATGTAGGTTGCTTAATTCGTCTATTTGTAGGTTGATCACATCAACTAGCTTTCGTCGCACAGCTCAAAAATTCAGCTCTGCTCTGTCTGAACGGAATGCTTTGATGATTCTGAGTTGAAGTATGGGAGAGGCGCACGTAATTTGACTGGTAGCACCCCTAAAAGTGGAACAGTGAAACAGTATGTTTCATTTCGTTGCAGATTATTCTCTGGGTTAAGAATACAGTTATCAGTCAAATTTTGAATAGGATCTGTTGAAAAGCGTTCGTATTGGCTTGCATGTGTACGCACATAGTAATACTGAAAAAGTAAGGTAACAATATGTCTAAATATTCGTAGCTCAAGTTGGTCTACTTGTTTCGGTGGAAGTTGATCCGTTCTCCGAGCTTGGGTATATACTTGGTGGGGAAACGTGAGGTCCTCGTGATCGAAAGCTCATTTTACCTTCATCTAGGTTAAATGACATGTGTAATTTCAAGACTGAAGCTGGAAGCTTATATGTAGGCTCCGTTGCAGGAATTCGATCCCGTCTCAGTTTCATTCTCCAATTACCTGAAACCCTCTAGCTTGTCAGTTCAGTTTAGGTTGATGACTTACTTCACTGCCAGCTTTCGTCACAAAGGCTATTTCCCACGAAATTTTCGAGCACATTCAATATGACGGTAAGTACAATCAAGGGAATAAACATTGTCAGCTTCTCGTGGAGCAAACCGAGTAAAGCTATCTTACGCATGACTTCTAGCCTAACTCTTGGCTACTTCGCACAAGCTGGTGACTCGTGGTTAGTTTTGTTCAATTATTCATCGATTCTCGAAAAGGATATGATATCAACCAAGCCATGGGATTCGAATTTTACTGCATGTTCACAGTAAAGTTGTGGTTAGATACGAAAATACTCAGCTACACGAGCGCCTCCGTTTCTATCGGCTGGGCCGTGGGGTGAAACAGTACGATGAAAGGAGTTTTTCCCGTGGATCCATCTGCTCGAATGGTATTCGGAACATGCAGTTTATGACACTTTGAATGTCCATTTACTTCGACAGTGAATCGAAATAGAGGACGGTCGTTTTGCTGTTTGAATTCACCAAAAGACCGATTCCTCCATATATCCTAACGAGCCCATGATCAAGGTTGAGTTTGCTAGTGCGCTTTATATGGTAGCGGATGCAATAATGTCTCTTTTAAATTTCTTGAAATTCTAAATAATGTGTACCAATATCCGTAATGATCACTAGTTAACCTACGCGAACGAATAATTGTGCGAGCTTCTAACGGTTCCATACTGATTGATCCCCAGCAGTTGTGATACCGACTGATTACCTGTCTTGCACATTTAAGTTCATTTTCCGAATAAGGTCTTCCATACCAGTGGTTTTACAGGAACATGAGATCAATAGTATGGCGCCCAGAATTCAGGTCTACTACGTGCAGCGCGGTACGTTATGAGTCATCGATCACAAAATTTAGATAAACCGAAGAGTATACCCAATTGCATCTCGGTTGGTAGAAGTCAAGTCCGTTAAGACTCGTTTCAACAAGACCGTTAATCAGTTTCCACTGGCTACGTTAATATTGTTGCGGATGGTATGGTCCCACAAAGGTATGGTCTGTTGAATCGTGTTTTAAAGGATGGACAGTCGGTATGGTACGTTGATGTACAGATGTTCTGTACAGCTCACCACCCGAGCGGGAAACGCATGATGCATCGTTACCATCATATTGATCCTGATCGTTCACCGGATAAACGTGTTGACAAAACGGTCCGTCCACTCTATGGTATCGAAGACGTCACAATTGCATAACGGTGTACAGGTTAACGATATCACGAACGACCATGGGTGCCCAGATGCTCTCAACGATAACCTCATCAGTTTGATGATCTGTTGTACACTTCTTGTGAAACTTGCAGTTCTGGATTTTCACGTCACCTGAATAACATACTGTTTGCTACTAGCACAGATCTGTGCATCAAGATGTCATCCGTTTTTGGCACAGTGCAAAATGATATTCTTCATCCGAGCTGAGCTCACGATACTACGGAGATCAACCTCTTCTAAGGCTTTTGTTTCGAACTTAATTTATACCCAAACACTTACATTTAGGAAGTGGACGATATCTGAGGACCATCGCCAATCGATCCGGCATCTCATGCACTTTGGTGGACATGCGAGATGAAGATGCGTTCAAATCAGTTTTACAACCGAACACCAAACTCGTATTGGCCGAAACGCCATCGAACCCGTTGATGCGGCTCATCGACATCCGTCGGATATCCGATATAGCTCATAATTATAACAAAGATATAATAGTTGCTGTGGATAACACGTTCATGACTCCCTATTTTCAGGTATGTTGATATACGCTTATCCGGTTCCGAAGTGTTGATGTCCTTATTACCCCAAATACCGAGTACTAAGTCTCAACTGATTTTGATCCCTTCGTCTGGTGACTGTTCTGCTTTTTGAACTTTCGATAAAAGTTTTCTCTGTGCGTTTGCGATGAACTGGGAGCGATACCGAATGTTCAGTGGATAGAGAAGTACCTGCTCTATATGGCTGTATTTTGCGGATATCTAGATACTATTACTCATAACCCGCTTACACATCTAGCTATTTAGTTTGTACAGTCACGGCCTCAACTCAAATACGACAGTTTCTGGGTGGACTGAGAGAGTATCTCACAAAAATGGAAAGTTCTTTACAGCCTCATGCTTCAGGTTAGTCTTTTAGTTCATATATGCTGGGTAAACCGTTATGATAGACCTCAGGTAAGCTGAAGGATTGACGATTGTGGATCGGTTTATTGAAATAAAGGAATCAACGAAAAGTTGCGCTCGAAACATCACCGCGCATGACCTCTCAAGTGCCAATATCTAAACTTAGCTACTGTCGATAGCAACTGCGTTTTTCCACCGACTACTCGACTGATTGTGGAATCTCATGCTACCGTTCTACAGTAACTTTTAAATCAATGGCAATGTTTCATGACCTATCCTGCAAAGTCAGTTGGAAATTATTATCATCCAGTGAGATTACTTCTGGCTGTTCAACACAATACCAATAGCTCGCCTTCGAGCAATGCTGTGGGCTTGATTTGCCCATTTTGAGGGTGATTTCGTGACGCCATGTGAAGCATGCTGAATGTACCAGGTAACACTACACTATCTTTATTGTGTGGGAGGATCTTGGAATTTAATCGAGATTTTCGTCCTGTAAGTGAAGTCAGTCTGCGCTAAAAAGCCCAAGAGCACTGTTTCATCCTAATTAGGAATCATCAATTGCGAGCACCTTACGGATTTACAGCGAGATTTATGGACCTTTCGTCTGAGAAGTCATCACTTGAGGAGCGAGTCGATACTTGATCGCGTGATACTCGTCACCAGACACTGAACTTTATCACCACGCGAAGTCAAAGTGACTTGACGGACATAACACTCATTAGGTTGCTGTGCCCTTCGTGATTCAAGACGACTATGTTTATCAGCTTACACTGATCACACGAACCACTATCGTAAAGGTGGATGACTGATGCCACACCCCGGTTAAATGCGATTGCGCGTGAATGTGACCGCATTACGTGAGTTGACCTTATCGTGCACATCGCGTCCTCTCATCATCATTTCGAACACTGTGTGGATGTTCTGCTTCAACACAGGAACTTGGAACATTTGTTAGACTACAAATCATACCGCTCGATTGATCGGTACACTGAGCCGTCCTACCCATTATGGATGAACTCTTGGGAAGCGTAGAAACCCGTTTTTGCTTATGGTCGACCGGCGTTTAGTGCTACCTAAGTGTCAATTACATCCGACGAGGTTTTGGTGCTGGTAGAAGATAGTTGCACAACATGCTGTCATATTTTGATGCATATGAGCCCAAACTAAGGAGCGGATGTATTTTGAATGCAGACGCGATGCTGTGCCTTGCAAAATTGCTGAGACTCTAAACGACATAATAATAAGATTAACTTTTTACAAAACCAGACTGGGCCTCCGCACTCTGTACACTAAGCGTGGAAAACCTTCCAACCGTACCATTCATGGTTACCTAAATGAATAAATGCAGAGCTATCGGAAGTGTTTGACGGAGTTTTTTTATCATGATTTACTAGAGGATCAACTTGTTGGGTATCGCCAATGCGGAAGACGCCCATATACACTCTTCAACAAGGTCCTAATGTAGAAAACGACACTTTCGTAGTGTAGACTATGTAGTGTTGACATTGTGGATATCATATTGAAGAGACTTCGTATAAGAATATAAGACCATGACGAATGGGAGCTTAGGAAAGCTTCCTCTAGGTTGCCGATTTGAGTACATGGTCATGTTAAGAACAAGTGCTGTGTACACTGTGGTTTCTAAGTGTTTCGTAACGACTCTGGTGAGGACGCTTAGACATTGATGTATCTTGACAGTTGACTATCGAAATCATGATGCATAAGTGATGTGGAGGATGGGGGAAGTTGACAGTTTAATCAGGAAACGGGAATACTGTCAAACGCACAAATGCGATAAGGGGAGTTGGGTAATAAGCGTGCTCCCCTTGATGAAAATCATGCATGTTTTGCAATCTATTTTTTTTTACACTGGCCTCCCTTGAACTGCTGAAGCATACGTGGATATCACAGAATGCACTTCGTTCTTCGTAGCAACGTTGATTTTGATCTATTTTTCTCTCTATACAGCGTCCACTGGATTTCGGTGCTGACATCTCATGGCACTCTCTGACAAAATACATGAATGGTAAGTCGTGTGTACGGTCAGTGGGTTCCTTTATGATGTAGCGGAATGCAAGGTCATTCTGGCTCGAACCAGCTGCTTTGACCAGACTAGTTGGAATCGGATTTTAGGCCAAACCGTGCGTACTGAAGGTCAGGGAATTCCCGATACAGTGTTCGGACTCAGTGCCCTTTTGGTGCATATTTACCGTGTCATTTGAAGAGAGAACAGGAACTAGGATATTGCCAGTCTGGTTAATGCAAACAGAAGTAAGAGAAATGCCATGGATGGGTTCGAACTAGGCTCATCCTGACCGCGTTCCGTCCATATTAGCGTTCTACTCAGCCGACTTGTGGCGAGCTCTGATGTTATATCATTTCGGAATTGCAGTTACATGCCGAGCATTTTTTGGTAGTTCTAGTTTTCTTTTTTTCGTTGCTCACTCGGTTTCATTTCACTCCGTTACTTCACGCCGAAGTAAGCTTATTCAGCACACCACCGACTTAACCGCTGGCAGTATACAGGTAGGTGAGACGCAGCTTTGTCATTAATGTCAGCTTGTGTTGGTGACACGAAGTGATAGTATCCGAAAATGCCTCCATTCTCATTGTATCTGTTTTAAACATAAGGATACCATCCAGTGCTGCTTCCGATTTTTAGTGTTTCAAGTCAGTCTTTTGTGCCGGTAAACAAAATCCATTCAGCGATACAAGTGATCAGTCAATTAGTGGCCAATCTACACTTCCAGACATATTGACGAGTGAGCATACAGTGAACGGTGATCCGAATCTGGACGCCTGCACCTAAACCCATGTTTCTAGAATCATATATCACTTTTGGCCAATTGAATAGAGTGGTTTTTCATTACTGGATGATGAATTTTACCGGAAACCCAAACAAGAAACTACAATGATTTTAATCGATCAGTTGGTATTCAGATATCAAAAATGCCATGGTTGTTGATGCCAACTTGCATATTGGTTCCAGAGCTGCACTTGGATATCCGAAGTGCATTAAAAGTATGGAGAACGCAAGAGTAGGATTCCAACACCTGATTGAGGTCAAAGCTGTTTCCGTGAAGGGAAGATGGTTTAGTTTGGCGAATGGTGCACTGTACATATATTCCGAACCCTCTCTTTTCCATTGAGTGCACCACCGTCTGTGGCGTTTGAGTATAGTCCATATGTGCCTCAATTCCGTTGGAGTAGTGGGGTCCCCATTTTACTATTCAACACTGGAATGGTTAAGGGACAAGCGAAATTTCGTCTGTACACGATATCTAGTAATTTTGTAACATTCATGTAGGTTTTCGTTAGTGTTGTTTGTGTACAATATTGTTACTGTCTCACTGTGACAAATTTGCCCGTTCTAAATTTTCACCTGTTCTAAAAAATTCACGCTATCACCACTTGGGCCATCCCACCTTTTCACCTGTCCCGATTTATGTTGACAATATTTCAGGTCACTCGGACGTCGTGATGGGCGCAGTAGTTACACGGGGCCACCCAGAACTACCTTCCAAATTCAAATTTGCCCAGCTGGCTGGAGGAGCAGTACCATCATCATTTGACTGCTTCCTCTGTCTTCGTGGGCTTCGAACTTTACCTGTGAGAATGCGAGGCCATATGCTTAATGCGCTGGTTGTTGCAAAGATGCTCGAAAAGCATCCAAAAGTCGAAAAGGTCATTCATCCAGGTGAGTCTCTGCCAACTGCGGCTTAGCTGTCGGATCTGGATATTACAGCTTCGCATTTTTAACTAGTGTTTTGGTCAGCTGCTTGCATTCATAAAACTGTCAGCATACCGAAATGAGACCAGCTGTTCCTCGAGACACATATCCAGATCCATCCCTAAATTCTGTGCTCGCTTCCGGTCATTGCGTGTAGTCGAAGTCGATATCTAGCCTGTTTTCAGAAAGCACAAAGAGAGGGAATTTTGCGTCTGTGCCTGCCTGTTTCGACAGTGCCTGGTAAAGTAGTTCGAACTCAAGGAATCTACCTGCTCAGACAGACGGTCCTATGATAAAATGATCTAAAAGTTCAGGCGTCGGGACATGATTATGGCCACCGGTGATACGTGCATTCAATTCAGTGAGGTATTTTACCGGTGGGAGTGTTCACCGAGGTAGATTACCCGCATTTTACCATTCGAAATCAGAAATTTGTTTCCCGGCGCAATGCTTTTCACTGCGTAGAGTTTTCTCAGCAGCTGAAGGATACATAATGGGCACACAATAAAGCAATGCAATGACTGCCTCACAACCAGTGAATTACAATGCTGTTACACTCTTAAATTGTTGTCTGGCCGTTTTAATATGTGACGTTGTACCCATGTTTCACCAACGTTAATCAGTCTGCTCATTTCAAGAATACCCTTGGCAAAGAAAAAGTTCACCTCTATAGTCTTCAGTGGTGATATAGGGATACGAATGAACTCGTATCCCTTATGTCCGGGATCACCACGAATTCGGTTTGGAACGTGGCAAGCACGCTCATAGTCATATGAATAGATCATGATGGTGTTTTGGCGTGTTTGTGTGAAGAATGGGGCGATCTTAAAGTCAATATAAAGTCCACTCTAATCCATTATAACTGTATTGTAATTGCACTGAATTAATACAGTATCTGCACGGCAAACCTCTTTTATGAAAAGTGGAACTATGTACACTTGAATCACACTTAGGCTTTGGCCTCTTGTATTGTTCTAAGTTCTATTTGCCAATTGGTGCCTCCCGGGCGCAATTTTTCTTTGCCGTAGTGGCAATTCCTATAAGCCGTATGGATGGTATTTAGACAGAGCTGCTCTTTATCCGTTGGTTTGGAAGCTAATTTAGCTGAATTTCTGATGAAACGCTCTTTAATGATGCCCTTTATGGTTGATTCTTTTAAGATGACTGCACTAAATTCATTGTTCCATCGCGTTATTTTTCGCAGTTGAGGAATGTACATTAATAGTTACTTGTACGCTCTGTGAAGATGTTCCACCCAAGAGAGGCTGCCTGCACTTAATATCATTTAGGCCGTTCTCTGTTAATGTTCTGTGTTCATTTAGGATTGAGTCTTCCACCTTGAAGCCTGGATGTGATTTTCAAAAATCAGCATATCCGAGCAGTGATATTTCCAGTGAAACAGATATTCCGCGTCTTTCGCAGAATACGTAAACCGCTTTGGTAATTTTGCAACCATACAAACCTGGAGTAGAATGTGCTGCGTTGATTTTTCCCGTGACAATGCTAAACTAAGTCACCAATCACCTCTTGTTTGGGTTTCTTCCGAACCAAACTCATTTTAATTTGGCCTTTCAATAGCGTTAAAAGCCATTCACTACCTGAATTATGTGCTACCACAAATAATTCATCTGCTCACGTGAAGCTGAGTTACTGAAGCAGTTCGCATCCTAGAGGGAATGAGGAAAAGCGTTTTTTCTGGTACGGACGCCGTGTCCACTCGGAGAAATCGATTTTCAAATGGGAGCATTGATGCTGGAACTCCTAAAGAAAACACATGGTATGTAAGTTTGGCTTACCAATTTTCCCAACAAAGCTCCAACTTAACTTTTCCGTGCCCTCCATAGTTTGAATATTGCTGTGACCTTGGAAGTGCGATGGGTTTCTCGGGTGCTCTTTCGAGGAGGGTCCCCCGGGTCAGTGAACTGCGGTGTTCATTTACCGGTTACTTGCAAAACGCATGAGTAGTTTAGAATTAACGACATTTCCTCCCCTGCAGTGGCCGGTTTGGCTGTCGAGAATTTCCTCATTTTCGGAGCACAAAAGGGGGAAGCTGAAAATTATTTTGAGTTGTTTAATAATCAACAGGAGTCTGAATTCCTCTTGATCGGTCTTCAATTGTCCCCCATGGAAGAGCGCACTGAACATCAGCTACCAGACTGTGTAATTGATATGTAGTTCAAGGCTGTAAGTTCCAGAACATCAGCTACCAGACTGTGTAATTGATATGTAGTTCAAGGCGTGTAAGTTCCATATGAGATCCCATCTTTGGTTTTGCGTTAGAACATCCGAAACAGAATTTTCAGAGATTTTAGCATCTATAATTTGAACAAAGCGATGACAATTTATTCTTTGCAAGACACTGCTTTAAACGCCGAACAAATAAAGCATATTTTGGTACATACGGAACACAAACAAGTCTACGCACTGAACAAACCATATAGATAGGAGGCAAACGACGAAAAATGCTGAGTAGCAGTAAAAATCCAGTTACCGCAAATTACGCACCACAGTTACCCCAAATACTAGGCATGCATCTGTGATAGCTAGGTTTGCTGGCAGAGTTCGCGTCAATACTTTATAAGGAGACTAACTAGTGCTGATTTCCTACTTGAGTGTGCTGCTTTGTAGCTTGAAGTTACTTGCTTGTGAGTAAGACGACAATGAAACTGAAGCGAATTGCGAAACGAAAATACGAGAATTATGTGAATGAATTCGTTGCGGTTTTAGTTTTGGGATATATATTAAAACCCGTCGTTTGATTTCATTTTAGCCCCCGCTTCATTATATTATTGTTGCCATATTCATTGCAGACAACCTCTCTGAATTTAATTAACGCTGCTGACAAAGTTCGCAAATCCACAGTACAGATACCTGAGAACTTCCCTTGTTCTCATACCATACCTCAAATCCTATTGCTAAGTTTGAACTAATGCAGCAGATTGTTTTTGTTAGCAAACGAGAATCCGTAATACGGAATATGGCGCTTCACCTAATGATGAGAGACCACAAGCGGATCTTTACTCTCGGGTCCTCGGTAATAGCAGGAAACTTCGCCCTTGAATGTTATCGGCGCACTTCTAAAGTCCGTCCACGCTACCAAGAGTATATCTCTGGCAGCGACATTTTGATCAAGATCAGCTTGTGTTCCTGTGACGTCTGTGCACAAATTAGGTCATAGATTTCTTGTGAGTAAGATGAATGAACTGTGAATAGTTAAAAGATCGGGCGACAGTACGTATCGGGTAGAGTAAAATTTCGTTTTGCATCATCCGTTATTTGGATTTGCGAGAATACCGCTTTACGCTGATTAAATGTGCATTTGATGTGATTTGTGCTCTAGCGACTTAACTAAAGGACTTCATCTGCTGATGAACAGCTAAAATGTTCCACGAGACCGACCCCTTTGTGCTTTTTTGATTATTCCCGATATATAAGATACGTGTTGCATCGTTGATGTTTAGATGACTCAAAGCTTATGAGTTAATAACTATCAGTTGTCCCACAAGAATCAGTGGATACTTGAGCGAGAAAAGTCTTCCTTTTGGTGCAGAATACAGCGAGCGATGCTAACCCCATAATCGCTATTTGTTCAAACTATTCCTTCGTGTCATTCGAAATACTGCTATTCGACGCAAGTTGCTCGCACTTAACCGAAGATATCTTTTTGTATTGTCCCGACTCTGTTGGAATTCTCAATACTCGGTGGGAAGTGGTACACCTTTTACATGATATATTTAGTTTTCACGGGACAGGAAGACGATGAAATGAAATTTCCCAATGTACTTCAGCCCTTCCCAGCCATCCACAGCATAAACTGGCTCTAGAACAGATGCGTGGGTTCAGTGGTATAATCTCAGTCTATGTGAAATGTACAGCGGAAGAAACCGTTGAGTTCGTCAAAAACATAAAGGTACGTTTAATGGTGGTCGTGAGAAAACAACCTGAATTGCATCTTCAACATCAATCTGAATTATTATAACATTTACTTGTCTATCGAATATGAGGACACAGTGACCAAGACAAACATAACTAGGATGCACCCGCCGAATCACATAGACCTAAGACAAAACTGTTGCTGTGGTTGACCGGATGGCCGTTAATATGTCAGCCAAGCTTGGCTAGTAGGCTTCAAACGCTTCTTCCCCAGCAGAGGAGACAGCGTCAGTACGCATTTGAGTGGATGCTTTCTCCTTACCTGTCTGCAGTTATATTTTCAAAGATGTGATGTGTATCTTATGTGATTGGCTGATTGGTATATACTCTTATAATCCTACTGATGCCTTCGTGGTTTGTGCTGCTTTGTGGTCTTCGTTCTTCGTAATCCATTGGTTTGTTGGATTGAGGGTTTTAGATTCGCTTTCCAATTAGTCCGCTCCTGGCTCATGTTGAGTTATAGTCTTAAATCTGACTGGTCATTATGCGATTTCTATTTTTAGTATTTTCTTTCCATCGATCTGATTGGTCCGTTCTTAGTTTATATTGTAGTATCATCTTGAGTTTGACCCGTCAGCTGTGTTTTCGCTTCTGATGTAGTTTTTCTTTCGTGTTGGTCATTTTGATACCTCCCTCTGTTAATGGATCAGATGGCTGTTGATCTGTTCGCCGAGCTTGGCAATTTGGTTACAAACGTCTCGTCACCATTCGAGAAGGTATCTTAAGTGCGTAGTCTCAGCGGGTAGTCTCTCTCTTCATGTTTGGGTTTATATAGTTTACAAAGAGCAACTTTGATCTGTAACCTGATTGGTCATTGATAATCATCGCACGTGGGTTCTGGTTAGCCCGATCAGAACTCAGGCCGGTGGGTGATTAATCGGTGGTCGGTAGGTTACGCGACGTGGAAGAATGCGGCTCCATAAGCACTCATGGAGGAGACGTAGCTGTTTTCGTCTGGAAACTTGTCGTCATACGAAAGTCTCCCATCGACGAGCTGTTTGGAGCGCGGAACGCCCGATATCCTTCGTAATGTGTTGGAATTGAGAATATATAAATGGCAATACAAATAGGGATATATCGGTCGACACGCTCAGGACAGTTACTGGGTCGTCGTCTTAGACGTTGAGCGAGCGAGGTATATCGCTCAGCTGTGAACAGATCCACCTCTGCAGACGAGCATATTGTGGTCCTTCAGCTGTATGCTTGCCTGGCATGTTTGAGGTAGAGTTCAAATGAGTTCAAATAAGAGCGAAACTCGAATCCAGTGCTTCTTCTTGGCGCAGACTAACTAGAATAATTGTGCAGGAGCAGGAAGACCGTTCGAGTGAGTGGTGTGAATGCAAAATAAAGATATCCGAACTGCCAGCAGTTTTCTACAGATGATGTTCAACCTAAACGACTTAGAATGTAGTCAAGTCGGTGTGCTGTGAATATGTGGGTAATAAATGTGAGCACTGCGTTAGTAGATGCCCGAGCAGCAACGAAAAAATTCTGTTTTTATTCGTTGAGTTGGGAAGGTACTTGGTTCGTCCGTTTGCAGTTCTGATGACTGGGAAGAAGATATTGAGGGCTTCGCTGTCCAGGAGGAGTATCGGGGGTATTGTGCTCGGTATATTTCATAGGGCGATGAGGACATTTCGTGCAGACGAAGTCTGGCCTTTTCTTCGGCGGCTCATAGCCATGTGCAACCAGGAAACCAGAAGAGAACATTTGAGCAGCGCTATCATGGTCGTTAGATTTTTGGGAAATAACTACATCCACCCAAACTACCGGAACTGATTGATGTTGTCGCAGTTTGGTACGGGACCAGGTTTTAATCATCTCCTTGAAGACGGACAGCCAGTGGGCCGCCAGTCAGATAATAGCGCTTGACACCTGCTTCCGGCCTTTCACTTTAGTGGGAGCACCTCTGCCACAAGACGACAGTGAAACAGGCCCCTCCAGCAAAAACTGCACAGTATCAGAGAGTATGCTTACTTTGTTATATAATCGCGCACCTGCTTCCGGCCTTTCACTTTAGTGGGAGCACCTCTGCCACAAGACGACAGTGAAACAGGCCCCTCCAGCAAAAACTGCACAGTATCAGAGAGTATGCTTACTTTGTTATACTTCGGCTATCTCGCCCGATGTCTCGAATCGCAGCTGACCAAACGCGGCGGTCTGTGGCAAAGGTGTACCGGAGAATATCTCAGTAGGATGTAAAAGAAAACATTACCCGTTTCCTAAAACAACCCTCACCGAACACGCTGAACCACTTGAATACGATATATTCCATACGAAAAGCATATTAGTTTTGTGGCTGATGCAAAGGGACTTCAACTGAAGGTCTATCCGGCCATGCTGTTTGCTGTATTTGCTATACCCATCAGCACCTGTTGCGTGAGGTTTTAGGCCATAGAAGAGTTAGATATATTATTACGGTTCCAAGCGCTTGAGCTACTAGGCCCAAGCGTTGTACACGCTTAGTCACTTGCAAAGAGACCGATCATCATCGATTCAAGTTCACGGGGAAATGAATTACGGGACTTTGCGCTTGTGTTTTCAAAAACAAACATGATCTAAGTTAAGAAATTACACAAAGAGTGTCATTCTCGGACTAGGTTGGATCTTGAATACAAGGAAACCAGGGAAAAACGCGTCTTTGAAAGCTGTAACTCTTTAACCGCCAAGGAGAGAAGATCTTTTTTATATTCAGTTTTGCTAAGACAATAAAATCGAAGGATTCAATTCACCGAAACTCTGAAACGTCATTTTTATAGGCGAGACTTACGTTCGCAGTTAAGTGAAACCTACACCTGTACGGGAGCGACCAACAGTGCCGAGATCTCAAACTCAACAGGCTTCGTTTCGTTAGTTTTCCCGTCAGTTAACTTGCTAAATCGAACCGCGTCCAAAAACATTTTGTTTTTCTAAATCCGTTTTAAAGACCAATTTGTTGTCAGAATGTAAGACACAAAAACAATTTATAACTGATATTCACAGCTGAATATGTTTACCGCAAACGAATTACTTTCCAGCAATTCTCCTAATCTTTTCCAGGTGTTCGCTCTAGCTGAAAGCCTCGGAGGCTACGAAAGCCTCATCGAAATTCCGTAAGTATTTTTCACGAAATCTCACTATGGTTATGAGTACTAGGTCTTGCATTTGTATGTTCCTAGTTAGTTCTTCCATTGCACCGACCAGTTTGAGGCCGTCGCTGGTGGCCGCCTTTTTGAAAAGGGTTATGAACTTTGAACATCGATTTGTCCCATCAGTTCGCTAGATTGGCGACGGTGGTGCGATGGCTATGCGGTAGGCTAATTTAGTGTAATAGTGCATGAGAAGCTGCGGCAGTGAAAGCGCACAATTCCCTCCCAGAATCCGCCCCTGGAATGATTTTACACATCATCAAGCAGAGTATTCGACCTGAATTCTCATTGCACCTATGGGTGTGAAATTTCTGTTTGAAAAGGTATGGGTAGTCAATTACATTTTGAGCAGTACATAAATAGGACCAATGACAGTCTATTTATGTACACCACATGTTGAGGGGTGTTGTTATGGATCGGAATGGCTGTGTCTGAGCTACATTGTTAGAGTGGTGGTGCAATCTTGTAATCATGTTGTAGCAGTAGTTAACCTTAGACTAGACCGCATAACGAAGAAGACCAGCTTTGGTCTCTCTCCCTCTCTCCATAGCCCACCTCAAAGAACCTGCGGAATGTGCTCTTCTATGGGTTAGCCTCTTCTGGGAGATAATTTATTATTGAATCACGCCTTTATGAACTCTTACGGATTTTTTTCTGATAGTATATGATCCAGAGCATCCTCATTTTTAGAATACAACACCTTGTGGTATCCATGTAAGAGTTGTTTCGACATTTAAGACGTGTGATTTCTACACCAACCACTTCCCCTGGGTTAGTCCCCTAAGAGAGACAAAATATACCACGCCGGTTAGTCTACTGGACAATCAGGCTTTTCCATATAGCCATATAACATTGAAAGTAAGATCTTTCCCACCGGTGAGAAGCCATAGTTGGTTTTGATTGATAGTTTGGAACATCCGCTGCTACGTTTGTCGCGTATAGATTATGGCTGTCGATGGATATGCCATATTGAGATTGAGATAAGCAGTTTACTACTGAAATATGATTCATAAGCTAAATAAAATTGGTCAGCCCCGATTTTCGCTCTTCTAGAAATCATCTGGACGGCGTGGGGAGACAATGTCCGTAACCGCGAATAACTGGAGGTTTCTGTAATAAAATACTAGACTGTTCTTTGCTGACGGCCGTCCGTCCACGTTAGTGCCATCTACGTCGAAAATCCAACACGTAGAACTTAGACAACTTCAGTCAACCTCGAAGAGCAGTTTAGCTGGCATACTGTAACATAGCCCCCGGGGGCATTGCATACGAGCGAATGTAATGTAAATCTCAATCACCCGTCAGAAGAAGGGATAAAATACGGAATATCCCTGCTGAAACATGAGGATGCACCAGGACCGGTCAATTTATATCCAACTTTCTTCCACAGAGGCGGAGAATCCGAAAAAAAATTATTGGTGCCGTACGGGTTGAAGAGGAAGCGCCCGCAGACTGCAGCATAATGACAGTTGTCCTTATTTTTAAAATGGGTATGCAAACACCGTGAAAACCACTGTGGCATTGGCCTGGCAGCTGTAGTGTCGGAGATGCCCTCCGGTCTCGTCGAAGGTTGATTGAAGACAGATCCAAGTAAACCAACCTCTCAACTAAACTTAGTACATCAAGTGTTGTCATGCAAGGCTCTTCTCCTTAACAACTTCTTTATCGATGTCATCATGGAAGAGTCACGTCTCGCCTGGGGGTTCAGAACGTCCCTGGGGCATTCGTTGATGCCTATCGAGTACGAAGACGATATACCTCTACGTAAATCTGAGACTATCGGTGTGCAGACAATATTAAATAAAATAAATAGTTCTGCCTCACAATGTGGTATGCGATTCGCACTTTTGGAGTGTTGCTACAAGATTGGATGGGCCTGAACCCGAACGTCAGGCAATAGAGGTAGTGGAGAAGGTTATCCACCTGGGTAGCTCCATCAGTCCCTATGGTCTAGCTATGGACGATATTTCCACCCTAATCGGGGAATCTAGATAACCTTTTCTCAACCTGAATCACTTGTGGCACAGACGTCAAAGCAGCTAACAGGGGTGCTCTGTGATCTAGAAACCTCGGCCGTGCGCGCTAAGGACGTTAAAAATTTCTCAGTAGCTGACCACTTGCCAAGTACGGTAGGAGCATCGGATGAGTAATGATGAAGTACACCGAATGGCTTAAGGTAGAAATAACCTTGTCACATGCTCCATATGCCATTCGACCGACTTCCTCAGTGATCTCTTTTCGCAGCAATGTAGAGACGACTCTGGGATTCTAGAGTTGACTTGGCAGCGAACCAGGAAACTCGGCTGCGCTGGTCCTTGCCGTTTCCCTGGATGGTGACCATTAGGCTTGCCACACCCATGGTTAGAGATGCTGGTGGACGCGGCCCAGTCGCGTACTCAATAAGGGCACGAATCCAAGCTGTTACTTTCAACACATGCCTTCCTTCCCCATTTCCCCAAAACAAAGTTCGATGTCGCTCTTGGATTCGGGCGTCAACCATCTCGGCTAGTGTCTTCAGTGCATGGCTTCCATAGCTATTTTCGCGGGTCACCCAGAACTGAAGCAGTGGCAACTATAACCACTGTACAACGTGTACGTGGTCTACAGCTAAAGGTGATAGTGATGTTCATTTTATTTGTAGGTGCTGGCATTTATTTTGCACAAGCATCAGTCAGTCTACCTAACCATCGTTGGTTCTGTTGGTTATCAACCTGGATCTGTAGGTCACTGGCGAGGCTGCTAATGCTTTCTTATTACCACTGACTGCTCATTCATTCTGATTGGGGTACCGTAAGTGTAGTTTGAGTATGCCTTTATGGTCCAACTATTTACGTAATTCTTGACGTAATTCTTAACGCCTTCTGCAAACACAAATTTTGGCAAACAGAAACGTTGAACACTGTTTGATTGACTTACCGAACCCGCTTACTATGCAACTGTTTCAGATCCATCATGACGCATATTTCGGTACCTTACGAGATTCGACTACAGAACGGGATCTCAGATAATATGATTCGATTGTCGATCGGCTTGGAAGATCCCAAAGATTTGGTTCGTGCGCTATACGAAGGACTGGATGCGCTGGACGGCAAAGAATGAGCGCGTCTTGATTGATTGACTTGATTATTAGTTGATCTCTCGATTAAGTTGCTTGGTGATCTGAAATAAAATTCTTTCCAACCTAATCACACAACTTTGGTTTCCTATCCTATCACATGTTTAGTATTACAAAGGGCACTGAGGTCTTACACCACATTGATACCATTGGTATAAGCAAAACGGAGAAGTTACACTAAGACACTTCGCAGCGAAGAAGACCACCCATTACATTTCCAGCTTCTACTGCGAATGCTGTTTTAATGTAGTCCCTGGAATTGTTGCGCATAGTTTTCCGTGAACCCACAATACCGTGTAATAACTCGCTGTCCACCACCATTGTTTCTCACCGTTACATTTCACTTCGACAACCATGCTGAGCTCACCTGGGTCGCCTTAGGTTTCTCAAAGCGATCGGCAATCATGGATAGTCTACTTGTAATGGCTAGATACCGGAATGAGTTATCGAATCGACTTACAGTGATCACCTGATTCGTTAGCTGGTAGGAGGCAGCCGTGGTTAAAAACCGAGAACCTCCATGCCCCCGAATCGTAATGATGAACTTGTCGAGATGAACACCTCGTGTCCGATCAAGAGCCTGGCGTCCTTTTGACGCAAAAATCGGTGACAAGGCGATCAAATATCGATATCGTAGAATGGCTCTGTTTATTCCGTTAACCTGATTCACAGCAACGGAACGCGGGTATACAGCACCTCCAAATTAGGCAAACATGTCGGCGGTCACGATCAGATAGCCCGTCACGCGGAAAGTCAAAGCCTTCCCGTGCTAGTCTGGGTGACTTCTGTTATAAGATCTCAAATCACGTCTAGCAGGATCTCATCTTGTTTAAAAAACATTGACCGAAATTAGGGAGGACGTCATACCGTAATCATTCTCGGCCAGCATGCCGGAAGGAGTGCTACCAGCATGGATCTGCAGCTTTTTCCATCATATTCTCAATCACCAAGTTAAAAAAGACACTTGATTTGGTGAACGTTGTCACCGTCATCATCAACGACCGGTATAACAACGCCGATAGTTTGCTGCCACAGAACAGCAATTTATTTGAAAGCTCCATTGTTAAAAAAGTGGGTGGGGATTCGTGCTTGCCCACCACAATCATTCTTAGGTGCCTGAATCCTCAGACACTTCATACGGATGCTAACGAGAACACCATTCATACCGATTAGCAGCTACAAGCTACAGCACACCAAACCATGCACAGCGTGGATCGCAATAAATCTATCCAACCCAGATGTTGCGGCCAAAACTAATGCAAGGCAAACGGAACGGTTGGTCCCAAAAGGAGACAATAATTGGACGAAGGGTATGTGAAACATAAAGGGACGCGTCATCAGTAGCCTCTCTCCGCTTACCCACTCTGTTGTACGAGGCAGTAAGGCGATCTGGCTGGCGAAAGCACTCGGTTTGCATGGAAAGGCCAGCGCATAACCGCAAAAAAAGAGCAACCCGCCATACACGCTTCAACCCCCAACCTGGATGACCAAGAAACCGTTGACAAATCTAGTTACGCTGCGAGCACCCACAGTATAACTCAGTTGGCCAAGGAGCACCGTCAAACCCATGTGAAGTCCGGTCGCTTCGTGAAGGTGAACGAAGTGCACTATCGTTGTCGACGAACAACTTCCGTGAATCGGAGAGAACATAATGCGGTGTGTGCGGAATATTTATACCATAGAGCGGATTCTGAGAAGATTCACTAATGTTTTGTTCATCAGAAGAATCCGCTAGTAAGAAGAGTCGGCATCAGTTGGTTTGAAAAGAAATCATTACCGTTTTCCATGGTAGGAACTCAGGAATTTGAAAGCTACATTGCGGAGATATAATGCGAATTCGAGGTAAGGATTACAGTCCGTGCTGACGAAACCGTGTTCTCCTAATGAACTCTATGCCAACCTAAAACTGTCATCCTACTTTGGTGGTTGGGCTTCTGTGCTACAATGATCCTGCGGGCTAAACTGACTGGTACTCAGTACCTGAACGTTCAACTATGCTACGAAGGCCGATGAAGAACAGTGACATACCCCCCTGGAGCCATTTCCGAACTCCGGCTTCTGTGCTTCCCAAAAGTATTTTTGGATAAACCGATATCGACTGTGCGCCGAACGTAACACACTCATTATTTCAGGTCAGGCTCAATCGATGAAGTAATTCGAGGATAACCAGTCCCGTGACTGGGTGTCGGCTTTACTTACGAATTTGACGAGAATTCAAGAGTATAGTCTTGCTGGTTAACCCTATTGATCCTACATTGAAGACAGCTAGAACCCCGGAATCGATTCAACAACCAATCTTTGATAGCCACAAAAAGTAGTTCATGCAACCATCAGTAGCGATTCGCTCACCGATTTCGGCTTCTGCTAAGGTGGACGTCAAACAGCCCTTAAACATAGGCGATATGCTCATTCCATCCTGATCACGGGATGCAACCACCCATTCTGAGTTGACAGTCTGGATGGGGATGAGGTGGATATTGCAAATCCACTTTACAGGGTTTTGCGCGCCACAACAAGCAAGCAGAATAAGTCGCAGTGAAAAAGCTACTGTCCATCCAGTCCAGAGCATCATGCGTACGTATGAATTGAGGATGCATCAGTGGCAACGAATTCAAATTGACGGACATATAACAGCACAACACAGAGACCTAGAAGAGTGAGGTACCAATTGTGATATAGGCAGGTTCATCTTCTCTGTACGCCGATAAATCGAATCGGTGTATTCACTCGATTGTCTGCAGGAACGTGCGGACCAAGGCCAACTGCTCCATTTGACTGGCAAGTAGTAACAGATCCACAAAATACTGTAGACGAATAGCAAGTGCTTAGATTCTGCCAAAAAGATGAAACGAAATAAAACTCCAGGTTTTCCTAGAATTACACGGAAAGCCTTAACAGAGAGCGAAAATGAATTTCTCCCAGACGACTGACTCTTGTATCCATCCCTACTTTTGGCCTACCTCCAACATCTTGTCTCCTCGGGACGGAGGACACACTGCTTTCCGATGTAAAAATATCAAATACATTGGGAAAAAATGAAACGCTCAAGTTCGACTCCCGAAGACGAAGCTAAATGACGTTAGACGAACATCACATTCCCGCGGGATTACGCATAGTGGAATGTTAAGGCCAAACATTCAAGATCGTTGAAGCCACCTATCGATGAGGGCTTGCTGTATTAGCGGCCAGAACCGCATCAATTTGTCCCTTACATCCTACGACATACTACTACCTCCAGATTTGGAGAAATTCTATCCCGAAAGGGGAGGCCACAAGTAGCATGTATGGATGTTCAAAGCACGTCAGATCAAAACAGCCAAGGACTGTACTGCTTCGTGAACACTTAGGTTCCACATGGGCAAAATTGTTTAATGTTTAGGTGGCTGACTCCATCACCCTCTGTCGTCCGTTGCTGAATATCTGGACTTCCGTTAAACAAGCAGGAGACGCTACGTATTCCACGCCTACTGCAAAAGATTACATGAACTATTGAGGAAAAATGTAGTAATGTCCACAGGTTTCCTGGAGACGGTACTCTGTTTTCAAACGAAACGAATATCGGTCCCACTTGGATAACAACATACCGTTAGACATGAGGCTAGTTGGTTTGCGGATCATCGGATCTAGGCAGCATGTCTGTTTTGCCTTTTCACACAATTTACACGATTCATGTCCTCACTAGTCCCTTCCTGGAGCGTCTTCCTGAGTGGCTGCTAGGGAATTCGAGTACATTTTTTGAATTCCAGATGAGATAAAATATCATCTGTTGGGGTCCCTAATGGAAACCGACTTCGTATTGTTGAGTCGCAAAGGAGATGAGTGCTTAAAAAAAAACGACGAAAACTACCAAGGAACGACGAGTGACGGTGCACGACGCTGACGAGGCTACTGAGCAACTAAAAAAGGTTTGCCGAAAGCAACAATAGTCGACCAAATGAAGACGCATTATTCAATGGAACACTGCCTTGATTCTGCGACCAATACCAGAATTTTTCCGCGACACGAGACCACCCATATACGCTTGCCAGATAGCAGTTCCGCCCTTTTCGCAGCTCGCAGTATACATGAGACCTCCTAATTCACTGTTCACGAATTAAGACCTAAGTGAACGATTAACGCGAAAATTTAAACAAAGTGCTATCAAAAAAGGGAATATTGTACACTTATCGACACAACAATCCTACTGGAGCTCAGTTAAACATCAGCGCCTGTGATTTCCGGAGCACTGAAGGACATTGAGAAAACCAAGTTTTCTAACAGCTAACCACTGCATCCCAGAGAACACTTCGAAATGTCATCTACTGGAGATATTGCGTTACGCTAGGTGGTTCAACTATACCGTCGCATCATCTACGGACTGAAGGGTTTCGGAGTGGATACCCCTGTGACGAGCCTACTAACAACAGGATCAAAGCAAACCAAATTTACAAGGCTATCTCCAGGGAACTACCGATCATTCAGAGCGGCATGCGACTATCTAGAGCACTCTTACCAGAAACAAACAAGTCAGAATAACGACACTTGCCGAAATAAAGCCAATATTTGAACGCCAATTGAAATTAATGGCCCAAAAGCCCAATACACAACTGCGACCGAAAAGTCAGGCAGGAGAAGAACCAACAAAATTTATTTCAGGTAATAATAACATCAAAACAACGTTGAATGTCCACAACTCAGCCGCAACGCGACCCCCGTTCACATTAGAAAACCAACCCTAAAATAAACAGCAAACTAGAATAGTGAACAAACGAAAACCCGAACGAAACAGGATCCATCAAAATTCACCATAAACCCCGAAGTCGAAAAAAACAACCAAACCATACAGCACCCAAATGGTCAAGGGCAATCAGCAAACACCATTACGCCGAAACTAGGCATCGTGTCTGTGGATCACCGAAACGACGCGGAGAGAAATTTCACCTGTACGTTCAGCCACCACACATCTCCACATCAGTAGAAAGAA